ACTTCTTTCAATGTGAATTCCACCTTAGCGTTTAATATACGTTCTTCCAACACCCCTTTCAAATTTGTTGCCGCTTCAATGTCAGAAAGTAGCTTATAAGCAATTGATTTGCCCTTATCTTTTGTCTCCTTTGTTTTTTTTTCCAATGATGCTGAGGTATCCTTTACACGCAATTCTTGTGAAGCTGCCTCCCGAGCCTTGTCTCCTCGAGTTTGCCTCTTAAAAGAATTTCCTTCTCTAGTATCATCAAAATTTCCTCGTCTTTTTTCTTCCATCAAAGCTTCATGTTGGCTCTTAGCAATATATGCATGAACTGAAAGAGACTCAACAGGATCCTCCCAACCTGTTCTTCCTCGTATTGTAGCTGCAGTTCTCAATAACGCTTCTCGAGGTAATTTCCCTTCTTGCATTGTAGAAGCGGCAGAAGCCCAAAACTCACTAGTTTCCGTACTTCCACCAATTTCATCATCTACTCTAGCACCATAACTTGCACTTTCTCGTACTACTGTTTCATGCTCTTTTAAGTAATCTTGAACCAATGCTCTCATTCCTCCCTTGCCAAAATTGGTTTGAAGAAGATCCTCCCTATCTTTCAATGTTATCTTCCCATCTTTCCAGCAAATAATTCCATGCCGTATCATATTATTAAATTCATTGCAATCTTTTCTAGTGTGTGAAGCATCATCACACCAAATGCATCTTTGTACATATCCTTGTTTTGAAACATTCTTTGAATTGTTTATAGAAGTATTCTCTTCAAGTCTTGCCAATTTGATTTGAAGATCTCGCATTCCTCGTATAATTTCTTCCATACCCATATCTGCTTTCTTTGACAAGGATGTCGAAGGTTGAACTGTAGGCATTGTCGGTGGTGTTGTACGTACTGGAGCTTTGGGTGCTTGTACTGTTTTCGGAATATTGCTCCTATCCTTCCTCCTTTCTTTTTTTGTAAGCAACCCCACCGCATCTTCAACGTTCTTCCACTTCGTTGTCAATCCTTCATCTTCTTCTTTGTCTTCAAGAAGGGGTTCTAATTTCTCTTGCAATTCTCCATCAGCAGCTTGAAGAAATAGATCAACTTTGTTCGGCTCCAATGTCAATTTTTCTACCTTCGATAATTGAGAGTACTGCCTTTTAAATTCCCTTAGTAGCTCTGTTGCTTGCAAATTCTTATTGGGCCGTTCAATCCATCCCAGAAATAGCTTCTTAGTAACACGATGAACATCTTCCAAGAAATATTCGTCTTTCAATGCATGTAAAAAATCCTCCCATGAATTCCCACAACGATCCGTAATCGATGTAATGTGGTCCCTTATCTCCGGTGTCGTGGCAAGTCCAAATAGTGCAACCATTTTTCTCTCAGAAACCCGATTTAATTCCATTTCACGAACATAACATCTTAAATACCTTGAAATATTCCTCCCATCAAATTGATCAATTTTATTGACCACTGCTTGCAATGCTTTGGTTGCCAAAGCTTCCTTTCGATCATTGCTTTGTTGTTGCTGCATTGACAATGAGAAGGCTTGAAACAAACTAGCAATAGACGGATCCATGTGCATACCTTGTCCTTTAGAAGACTCCCCACCAGAAATTTATCCAAAAAATCCTTCAAAATTTTTATTTTCGTTTTCTATAAAAATAAAGATAAAATCAACCGAAATCCAATACCTTCCACCTCAAACTTTCACGTCGGGTTCACCACTTATGTCGTATTACGTGCTTTCCTGCTCGAGAACGCGCCGGGCGTCTGGCTGTAGAAGGTAGTATGGAGATTCGCCGATAGTCAAGCAGTCTATCAGTTTTTGACTGCTGGAATATAAACGACTGCAATAATGTATCGTAAATCTATACGGGTGCTCTTCGACTGCTTGTCGAAGTCCTTTTTACCCCAGCCGGTAGGTCTCTAGACGTTACAGAGAACCCCGTACAACCCAAACTGTTAACCTTCAATACTGCTTTGTACTTACGATCTTGTATCCACTGACTGTCTTGTTAGATTAACCCAATAAATTTCATTCACTCCGCATACTCAATCCTATAGACACCCTTTTAATCCTTCAATCACAGACGTAACTCGATTTCACAAAACAGTCAAGAGTATTCAAACCCACTTCATTTAAAAATCCCGATTCACCATTACAACACTGATTTCAGCAGCGATTGCCTCAGTCTTCCCCAAAACTCTACGAAGAAGAAAAATCCAAATTCTATGTCTTTCCTTCCCCGACCCGAAGCATGAAGCTCCTCTCTCTAATTCCCTTGATCTTCAAAAACCTCCCATGAAAAAAAAACCGAACTGGTAACCTTGCAGAAGCTTGAAAAATCCTTCCCCCCCCGATTTCCCTCAAAAAAAAAAAACCACCCCCAAAACTATCTCCCACCTAACCTTATCCTCCAAATTTCTTCAATCTTCCGTCTTAGATCCGGAATTGGCTCCCACCTCAAGCTTGGATCCAAAATTGGCTCTCGCCGTCAAGCTTTCTCCTCCGTTTTTGCCTTTAAGAAATCCATTTACCGAAAACAACGTTCCCTGAGACGGCACAGAGAACAGGACAGCCTGAAACAGAATCGAACCCTGTAATCGGGACCACATTGAGTCGCCCGACCAATTCAGGTCCTATATTGGGAAAGATGCCCGTAGTAACCTGGATGTTCCCATAATTGGGTCAAATTGGTCCTCGCGTCAGATTGGCTAAGACCCGTAGTAAGACCTGGATTTCCCGTAATTAGACTGCACTGGGTTGACCGGCCAATTCAGGTCTCATATTGGATAAGAGGACCCGGATTGGATTATCGAAATTGGATCCAATTGGCTCCTCGAACCCGTCTTGTGAATTGGTCCTTCTCTTCCTGCTGACTCCCGTTATTGGGATCGAATGGAGCATTTCAGTATGCTCCGGCTGACTGTAACGGAGTGACTGAATCTGACCACTCAGTATTTGTACTGGAGTTGGTCGATGCTCCTAATATTCGAGGTAACTGAATATTAATAAAATTCCCCTTTCTTTTTATTTTCACTGTATAATCGTGTTACAACACGACAACGTGACTCCTCCGTTGGATAGCGTTTGGGCTTTAAAACTTCTATCAACCTGATTTGATTGACGAATCCTCGAAATTTGGAACGCGTACCATCGAACTTGTCCGAAAGGCTAACTCGGGGCTCCTTATGTTGTAGAACCAGCGGTGCTTGTCGAACCTAAGGCAAAGTTGCTTCTCCAAGTGCAGAAGTTTGAGGCTTGTGCAACCTAGATTGTGCCATCCCAGATGCTCCATCATTATGAAGCCTTGCCACGACTCCTTCAATCTCTACAGTTCTTTGCGATAATGTAGCGAGGGCATTCATGATAGCATCCAACTTGGCCTTCGAACTTTTCGTCATACTAATGTCTTGGCCTCCGGCCATTCTAAGAGAAGGACAGAAATGACTCTACAAGAAGACAATATTGGTTTAGAGGAGGGTACTCCGCAATCTCTAAAATGCCTTAAGAGCTTCAAGAAAAGGCGTAATCCACTCTCTCCAAGAAGAATATGACTCCAATATTGTAACAAAAGAAGTATCAGTTTAGAGGAGGGTAATCCGCAACCTCTAAAATGCTAGTACACTTCCAAACAGAGGGATAATCCGCACTCTAACAAGGAAGAAACTAACTCTGATATCTGAGGTGAGTGAAGTCTCGACAAATTGTCACAGACACAGAAATACAGACTCGAGATTCAAGAAGAACTGTCACAGATACAGAAATATAGGCTCGAGATCTAACAAGAAGTTCAAGAAGAACTGGCAAGAACTAGATTAATCAGATGAATACAAGAACAACACCAGAGAGGTGAGCTAGAGCTCCAAGAGATGTGTTGTCGAGACTGAAGAACTCTTCAGCCTCGATTCCAATATATACTCCTATTTAGGAAGCTTCTCAAGCTACTTCTATCAACTAGGAAGCTTCTAGAAGGTTCCGGAGACTTGCTTCTAGAAGGTTCTAGAAACTTATCTCTAGAAGGTTCTAGAAACTTGTCTCTAGAAGGTTCTAAGGACTGTGTCCCTAACACATGGTTATGAAGAGCATTTTTGAACAATCAAATATCATTGAATATTATTATACAAACAATGAACATGCAATGCAAATGGATATCTTTTTAGACAACTTACACTATCTTGTTTGTAAGTATGATCATTTTGATCAAAGTAAACTTCTCCTTTGTCACACTTGTAATTAATGCAATCTTTATCAATGCATCGTTTGTATATGATATGACTTTAATTGTATGTAAATTCATCAATATTATATTTCATTTCTTCTATACTTTCAAAATACTCCTCTGGTAGTGCATACATATATTCTTCACTTTCCATTTCAAAATGCAAAAAAATTAGAAAATATACAATTTATCTCCTCTATCTACTACACACAATCTAAAAAAGAGTATATATTAGAATAAGATGAAGTAAATTGAATAAATTCAAACACAATTATAGGGCAAGTAGGGAAAGAACAATAGAACAATGTTATTACTAGCCTTTGAGAATTGTTGAGAATTATTGGAAATTATATCCAAAATGATAATTCTATTTATCCAAATACAAATTATGATCTTAATGATGAAGAAGATTTGTAATATCCATGAGTGCATTGCTTCATTAAAAATTTGAATCATATTATCATTGTCATATGTGTGTATATATGCATATATATATATATATATATATATATAAGTTTTTTATTTATTTACTTATTTTTTGCAATCAATTGTAATCAATACAATATTATTTTTGAAAACTAAATTAGTAAAGTTTGATGTAAATGTGAATATGTATACAAGCATCTACAAAATGCAAGCAAATGCAAACATGCACTTTAACAAGAAATGATTACCATTACTGCAGTTTATTATTTAAAATGGAATAAAAAATCAGTATTTATGTCATATTTTTGAAAATATCATTAAAATATAAAAGTATTTATTAATAGACAATATACTCTCTAAAATTAAAAGCATTTGATGAACAAGTAGACGGTTGAATTTAATAAGTTGAATGTACAGAAGCAATAGTCAAGATATGGGTGTCAAAAAAAACTTTAAAAAAGAAAAAAGAAAAAAACCTAGTGTCCTTCTTAATTTATAATTGCATTTGAATCTCTTTCTAAAAATCAATTTTCGAACTTTAAAGAGTCTGATGGCAACTACAGGCACAAAGTAAGAGAGATGTGGTTACAACACAAATAATACTCTTTCATGCTCCGGAGCCAACAGAATGCCTGTGCTTGCAACAGGAGGTTAGAAAAATTGGTAAAGTACTGAACAGTTGTAAATGAAATGTTTCCATATTGAATGGTTCACTTTCTGGAGCACCTATAAAAACCCCAGGAAGTGATGTGATCTGTTAATAAAGATACAACTTCTAATATCTTTGGCTTATTGCATTGTACATATTCGATTCCTAAAGTAATGGCAATTCAGGAATCGAATATGTACAATGCAATATGAACTGGTACGCTCCGTAAGCTGCAGTATGTATTACAACGTGTCTTGCAAGGCAGATCTTGAAACAGAGCACAGAGAAACAAATCGAAGCACAGTACCTGCAGGCGATCGAGCATTCTGTCTAACTTACAAGAATTCTTTGTAGAAGTCTGGAGCTACAAAGGTTTGCAGTGATTGACCGCGTATGGCATCATAAGTTTCAGCACTCTAATTCACACCATGTTAGAGGACATGCCTCATGCTCTCCCCAGAGTCGATGACATTCTTTCAAGGAATATTGGTGAATCCAAGGCTGCTTTGCTCCTCAATAGATAACAGTGAAAGAAGCTGCGTCCAGAGCGGCGTCTCGAAATGGATATTACTGGTAACGTTAATCCTGTGAGATCGGTCAGTTTAGTATAAGTCATCGCCGGAGTCGATTCGCAAACTCAAGCCTACCGACTAATTGAAAGAAGTCAAACTACTCTGTGCAAGATCTGCACATGAGATGTCGGATTTTGAGGTAATGGCAGGATGCAGCAAGGTTTAAGAACACTGATGAAGTGATTACTAACAATTTGCAGCGCCTCACAAACACATCAACCCTGACACCCTGCGCCAACCACTCACGAAACAAACCAACCAACGAAAACCTCTCTCTTACGCTCTCTTTCTCTCCCCTTCCATTCCCTCCCTCTTCGCGCTCATACAAACAAGTTTGTATACTAACCGGAAAATTGCAGAACCGGCCAACAACCTTTATGCTTGCTTCAACTATACGTTCCACTCGGCTTCCCTCCCGCAACTAAAAGCCCCTGCCCTACCTACAAGGCAAGCCAACAGTCGAAAACGGAAACGACTTGCGGCGTTCGAGCCCTTCGTCTCTCACATTCCTGGACTAAAAATGAATCGAATCGAATCCTGTCATGATTCGAAGGGGGGAAGCCATGCGTCGACACCGCCAGTGGAAGGCCTTCTTCTTCATTCAATCCCCTGGGCCAAATTTCCACGCTGGCCCACATTGATGACGCCCGCATTGCCCCGGTATGGAGTGCGCCAGCCCGGATTGCAGTGACGGCTGGACGGACCATTTCATTTCGACGGTAACGGGGGCAGCATTGCGAGAGAGAGAGACCATGTTGCAGCGCCCCAGTCTATTGCGGCAGCCCTTCTGAGCGAACTATCCAACTGCCGAAGATGGCTTCCGCTTGAGGATGTCGACCGATTCACCGTTCGTTCACGACCTCATCGACACGAAGCGCGGTATGTTGAGAGTTCCCATTTGACTTCGGACGGCGGAGATGCGAAGTCTAGGGATTTTGTGTTCAACGTGTCCGGTGACCGCTTCGTCGTTTCTCTTCCTACCGAGGCTGGAACATTGCTTTTGAGTTGACGTGAAGGAAAAATATCCGTATTGATGCGGTTGCCACCATCTCTGGGGAGGTCGGATTGCTCTTTCTTGGAGTTCCTGAGCCCTTTGGTAAGTATGCCTCTATATTGTCACACTGAGTGCGTCGGATTTCTCGGGCTAATTTGGGGTTTGCGTAAGCGTTCCTTATATTTTAGTCGAGCTGGAGCAATCTGTATCAGCGTCGGTTGAGCGGCGCCGAGCGAATGCCTTTCCGGATGAGGTTATAGATTTGATTGGGACGTGAAATGTGAATGTGGTGTGGACATTCATTCTCAGGGAGTGAGGTCCGTTTGGCTTGTGCAAGATTAGTCTCTAGTGACGCGAGGGACTGGCTTCGTGATGCGGATACGTGCGCGTGCATTTTGTCGGCGTTGAGGGAGTTCAGTTCGGAATTTCGTTCGTGTGCATCTGTTAAGAGGCTGGGACAGGACTAAAACAATGCAAATCCTTAGGCCTTACGAGAGAGTGTTATTTATGTGAATCAGAGTTCAGTATAGTGTGCCACTTTCACTTAGTTAAGATTCTCTAGGCCTCTACGCCTACAGTTTATCAGAATCGTCGTATGCTTTCTATTCCATATTCTTGTAGCTTTGATAGCATTTGGAAGTTTATGCAGTAGTAGTTTGACAAGGGGGAGAGTGTAGCTACGTATGCCTCGACTACCTGTGAAGTTTACTTGATATAAGTCTATTCAAGCCAAGGCATGATGATGCTGCATTACAATACTTGTTTTGTAGTGGAAATGATCAGCATATGTCAGGCAGTAGGCTAAATCACTGTGGGTCGGTTCTTTTCAATGCTGTTGGGACCAACTATATCATATCTGTTGAATTACTGGAGAAAATTGGGGATTCTTTGGTCAAATGGGGTCTAGAATCAAACACAGATTCTTGAGGTTCAAATTCTGTACGTTCCGAATACTCTTTTCTGTGAATTAACCTGATTAGAACTATACTTGGAGGCAAAAAGTAGATCCTCGTGACGAAGATTTCCAGAGGTTCTTAGGTTTTACAGGTCGCGTATTTGGTGGTACCTCAAGTACATGATGTTAAAGCTAGGCCACATCCTGCTATACTTTTATCTTTCGTGCAATTGTTGCTAAGCAGAGATGATTGTCTCTGAAACGTGAGCCGACGCTCTGCAAGTAATTAATTTTGTGTCATTGCTTTTCTATGTGCACACGCTGGTGCTTCATTTTATCTTTTAACTTGCTCCACTGCGTAGTAGCTGTCATTGAGCTCGTGGTCGAATCCAAAGGGGGTATAAGTAAGGGAATTAACAACAGAGGCTGGCTGGTCCCCTTCCAACCTACTTTGACTTTTCTCTAATATCCGTCAGAGAATTCCGCATCGACTCAAGTGGCTGCATTATGATTTACTTTATGTACTAATTTCAATACGGTACGGGACTTAGGTTTCTTCCGATACTCTCGCCCTTATCTGAACCTGCCATACCAATACACTGTTTTTTGAGTGCAGAAAAAAGTCGCAGGGTTGTAGTCAACCTTTCCCTAGATGATTCTAGGGATGATGGGCGCTGTCCTCTTTCCCGAAATCCAGCCCGACAAGGTTGTACTTAATCCCGTTTTCTGAGTTCAGTGCATAGTAGACAAGTGAACCGCCAGTTTATGTTTGTTTGGATTATTAGCTGCTTTTTGTTACGTTGCGATAATACCTGAATAAAGAAAAGATTCATGCCGCAGCGTCGATTTGAACCACATTGGGCTTCTACGGCTATTGTTTTGTGGTTGGTTCGTGGAGATTTTGCGTCACTTAGCAAATACCCTAATCTCGACTTTCTCATGGTAGGGTGATGTTTATTGAGACAGAGAACATCCACAATCGTCGTGGAAGAATGTAGGTGGATTTGCCTCCTAAAGCTGTGAATTTATTCTTCTGTTTTACTGTATTATCGCATTTGGTTACTGCGTTAGCACACAAGCCGTTGTGTGGTAGAGCATTTGTTACATTGTTAGTGACGGCGACAGGATGGCTTGAGGCATTTTGCATGTGTACAGTTTTGAAGTGTGTAATTTTATTTTATTTTTGTTTTTGTTTTGTTTTGTTTTGTTTTGTTTTTTTTTTTTTGACGGAAGTTACAGTCGTCCGGATCTGTTCTTCGTGCCGGTTTTTCATGAGCCTCAGCTTAGCTTAGTTGAAGGTGAATGTGATGACATTTTAGGAAAACTTATTTTTTAATGCTCTATTGATACAGATTACTTCCTGAAAGTTCGTGCTTTTATACTCAAGTGAAGTGCCTGCCCACTTCTGGTTATCTTGAGGCAGTGACTGGATGGGATTGACAGGAGGTAGGGCTGAATGGGTAACACATGCATTGGAGCAGCTGGATACTTCCAAGGCTTCTCTGCTGCTATTGCGCTGGGAGGCCGAAGCTTTACATCGAATAGCGAAATATCGCCCTCTGCGAAGGCAGATGGCGATAGACACAAAGCCGGAGGGGACTCTACTGCGACTCAACAAAAGGCACCCCGCCAAAACTACATCCCTTCTGTAGAAGCTACTGATCAGCAGGAGTTCAGGGATGTGATTGAAGCTATGAGAAAAGGTAGAGAGATTGAGCCTGTTCCCGGTCAGAGCTTAACTCACTCTGTTCTGCAACGAAAAACTGAGAATTTGAGAGACTTGTATACTTTGGGTAAGAAACTGGGACAAGGCCAATTTGGCACCACTTACCTGTGCATTGAGAAGGCTACCAGTAAGGAGTACGCATGCAAGTCTATTGCTAAAAGGAAGCTCATCTCAAAAGAAGATGTGGAAGATGTTCGTCGTGAGCTGCAAATTATGCATCATCTTTCAGGGCATCCAAACATTGTCATGATTAAAGGGGCATATGAAGATCCTGCTTCAGTTCATTTAGTGATGGAGCTTTGTGCAGGTGGTGAGCTCTTTGACCGCATCATTCAGAGAGGCCATTACTCTGAAGCCAAAGCCGCGATTCTCATTCGTACCATAGTGGGTGTGGTCGAGACTTGCCATTCTCTGGGGGTGATGCACAGGGATTTGAAGCCGGAAAACTTCCTGTTTTCTAGCACAAAGGAGGATGCTGCTTTGAAAACGACTGATTTTGGATTGTCTGTGTTTTTCAAGCCGGGGGAAATTTTTAGGGACGTGGTTGGTAGTCCTTACTATGTTGCACCTGAGGTATTGAGGAAAAACTATGGTCCTGAAGCTGATGTCTGGAGCGCCGGAGTGATTCTATACATCCTCCTCTGTGGGGTTCCCCCTTTTTGGGCAGAGACTGAGCAGGGAATTTTTGAACAGGTACTAAAATCAGAACTCGACTTTGCCACAGATCCATGGCCTAAAATTTCGGATAGTGCCAAGGACCTGATTCGCAAAATGCTCAACCCTGAGGCTTCTAAGAGGATGAAAGCTCATCATGTTTTGTGCCATCCTTGGATCTGTGAAGATGGAGTGGCGCCAGACAGGCCAATCGATTCAGCAGTACAGTCTCGGCTCAAACATTTCTCTGCAATGAACAAGTTGAAGAAAATCGCCATCAGGGTAATTGCTGAATCGTTGTCAGAGGAAGAAATCGCAGGTTTGAAAGAGATGTTCAAGATGATGGACGCTGACAACTCGGGATCAATCAGCTATGAAGAATTGAAAGAAGGTCTCAAGAAAGTGGGTTCCATCCTCAAAGAAGAAGATATGCGGCAACTAATGGATGCTGCTGATGTTGACGGGAATGGAACCATTGACTACGGAGAGTTTCTTGCCGCCACTCTTCACTTAAATAAAATTGAACGTGATGAGAACATGCTTGCCGCTTTCTCATATCTGGATAAGGACAAAAGTGGATATCTGACGGTTGATGAGGTACAACATGCCTTAGCTGAGTTCAGAATGGGAGATCTATCTGTGGATGAACTACTTCGTGAAGTGGATCAAAACAATGATGGTCGAATTGACTACGCTGAGTTTGTTGCGATGATGCGCAAGGGAAACACTGGTGGCGCTGGTCGATCGTCGTTACGGAACAGCCAGAGCTTAAGCTTAAATGACGTTTTGATGGTTGGTTAACCTCGCATCAATAGAAAAGTTGACTTGTTACGACTTTAGCGCTTGAGAGTGGCTGTAACAATCTTAGAATGCCAGTCGTTTTTGTAGGGGCAAGCAGCTATCCTTAAGGAAATATTGGCCTAGCTTGTAATGTTGCTTCACAGTATCTTGAGGTTAAGTTCCCAAAAGTTACTCCTTTCAATGTGCTTGGTATGGAAAACCGATTGCTGGAGATATACAAGCTGTTGATATTTATGCGTCAGATTTTGTGAAGTTCTTTAGGATTACTGGCAAATGTTCCTGTCACATTATGTCAGTCGTGTTTTTGGCTTTGGACCGTGCTTCAAAAGTGATGCCTCTTAGCTGAAGTTAATAATTACTTTCTATTGCTTTTTGTAGTGTGTGTGTGTACATATATATATATATATATATATATATATATATATGATTTATTGTTATTATTTCTTTCTTTCTTTCTTTCTTTCTTTCTTTCTTGCTGCTTTTCGTTGTTGTGTAACACATTAGAATCTCGATCTACATCTAGTCTACGTCCCGTGTTTTTGGTTTTAAGTTTTTGTTTATCTTGTGTGAGGAAATGGATACAGGCATCCTATTCCTTGTGGTTGAACGATTCTGAAAGAAGACTAGCTATGAATGCATTTCTATGAAGATTTTAATTAATTCCTTTGTCCCAAGTCAATTGATTTGAATCTAGGATTTTTTGATAAAAAATAGATGTAATGTGTATAAAACAATCTCAAAATCCAATGCAATGTGACCTTTCAAAAACACTTTCCATCATCTTATATTTTTTTGATATGATTTTTAAAAATAAGTTAATAAATATAGAATATGGCAATTCTATGCGCTTGAAATTAGAATGTTAAATTGGAATGGTAAACAAAGATGTACAATTTAATGTTGCATTTTAATGGTTGTTTAAATGTTGCACTTTAATGTTGTACTGACAAATTCTAGTTGTGTAGCACTTGAATGATTATAAACTTTTTAAATTCATGGCTATTACAATTTTCAAAACAAATAATAATACCTTTTAAATTATTTATCAAAGAACCATTATTTTTTTAAAATAATATCATTATTTTGATATATATAGTTTTAAATGTCATCATATTAAAAAAAATTAATTCTTTTTTGCTTTTATTTGTTAATGGTCGATATTGAGTTGCATTAGTTAGTTTATTAATCATTATTTATTGTGTATAATATTTTTTTTGTTTACTATTTTAATCAATCACTTGACTTATTGTCCAAAGAACAAGTAGACTTCACATTAATCTCTTTGTCTTAAACTGAAATAATTTTAAAAAGTAGAAAATAGAAAAATATATATATATATATATATATCTTTGACACAGAAATGGGTTTATCTGATGCATTAATAGAATGAAAGGTACAACTTACAAGTTAACATCTAATACCTCATTGGGCAAGGATTAGAGTATTCTTTGAAGTATTTGTTACTTCTTAAGATAATATACTTCTGTATATTAATACATCACATTAAGATATTCTATAGTTCCATTTAATTACCATATGTATTTTAGATCCTAATAAGTATTTTGCCATCTAAGATTTGTTCCATCTCTTCAATAAAGCAACTTTGTATTTGAGGTGTTTTGTAAGTTTTTTTCTTATAAATTTCTTGCTAATTTATCCACATTTTAGAAAACCTTGCAAAATTAAAGTTCTAACATAGTGATCACTCCATACTTCTCTTTCAAACACAAATTTATTTCTTTGAATTGAAATGGTCTACAAGCAAAGTCTTTTTAACAAAGTATGTCTATGTATAGTCTAACTTACCCTCTTTATGTATTAATTGCTATTGCTTTATGCCAAAAAAGCTAGATGAATATAGCATCTCTAGGTTCACAAGATAAGGACTGGATGTCATTTCAATCCAACAAGAAATTATTGTCTAGTATATTTTTTTATTTATTTCCTATCACATTGGACGACAACAATTTTCTTTGTATTAGATTTTGTCCAAGTATGGCTGAGTAAGTCATAGTTTCTTCTCTTTTTGCCTAAAAACATGATTCAAAATTAAAAGTGAGTTTACATACTGGGCTGTAAAATACATTAATGCCAATTGTGCTTTCTTTTCTTGTAGAACTTATTTTTGGAGCTGCTCTAATAATTTTTAAAAAACCAGACACTTGATTCACAAAATCACTTAAAAGATGATTATCTGAATTCATCAACATGTAAAATTTTGGAAAAAACTTTATCTTGTTAAAGTAGATTTTTTTAATTTCTAGGTAAAAATAAGTGTAAGAAAGACAAAATATATCCTTTGTTATTAAGAATTTGTAACATGGATCCAACTTTCTTAATAGTAAGAGATTGTTTTTAAGTACTAAAGTTATATTTTATTCTTTGAAATAATAAACTTTGTATAAATTAATGTGGAAGTCAATAAAACAATATTCTTAATCCCACTATAAAAATCTATTCCAAATCCTATGAAACAAAATAAGAAGATTGAGTTGTATGTGTTTAAATGTTAGAGCTTGGACTCTGCTAATTTTATTCTTTGTTTTGAAATAAATACTCCAATTACAATTATACAAAAGCATCAATACTTAATTTGGAAATCAAATTCTAAGAGCAACAGATATAGCATGCATCATTCTGAATTTAAAAAATTGTTGGATATTAGCATGTCTTTGTTGTAGGGCACCTACAATCTATTTAGGTAATAGAGCTTTGAATGTCTCTTTTGAGTCAATAATACTTGGAACAGCTTGTATTTTGTCATTACAATATCTAAGCTATAATATTTTTTATCAAGTTAAAGACAAGGTATTCTCCCATAAGAGGTTTTTAATTAAGCATTTTATTTTCCAAATTGCTTTTGAGGAATGTTCACTATAAGTCCAAATAGCTAAAAAGAAATGTAATGATGAGAGTAGAATCTTACTTATCATAATAATCCACACATCAACATTGATCTTTGTAGAATACCAATATACTAATTTATGTGTCATTCCTTTAATAAAAAATTAATCAACCTCTTTAGTTTGGAAGAAGAGGCAATATTGTTTTATTTAATATTAAAAATTATTAATACCAAATAAAAATAATATTTTTATGCTAGAAATTGAAATTATTAAAAATTAATCTAAATAAAAAAATTAATATTTTAGAATTTTTTTTTTCAAAATTTTATAAATCTTCTACTTATTATCAACTCTAGAAGGCAAAAAAAAGATATGCTTAAATCATTAAAATTTGTGATATATACTAAAAATCAATACAATTATAAAAATAAAAATAACTCTTATTGTATCTTTTAGAAGAATATATTGGTTATTAGTTGCAAAATAAATCTAAATTGTTGAATGGAAATCCAGATATTAATTAAAAATCATAAATTATTTAGATTAAAAGTCATGAAGTCATAATTTGTTGTATAGCAAAGATAAACTTTTATATTGTTTCATTTCTCAATTTTTAAAATATAAATCATCTAAAAAATAATAATAAAATAATAATAATAGTATCATAATTTCTTAACTATCTTATTTATTTGATAGTATCAAAATTTTAAAATAAATACTTAAAAATATATATATATATATATATATATATATGTGTGTGTGTGTGTGTGTGTGTATGTGCATATATTAAAATATATCAAAAAATATAGTACTAAAAAATATAAAAATACTTATATTAAACTTTACATCTATTACTTGCATTCTAAAATGACCAAATATATCACTTGTTATTGAATTAATTAATATAAAAAATATTTTTAAAATGGTAATATATATATATATATATATATATATATATATATATATAATTTTTAATCTAAAATAAATTTATGGTTTTAAATTTAGCTATTATTTATTTATTTACTTAATTTATCATATAATTCATTAATTATCTTGACAAATATCAGAGTTATTTAAAATGTATAGCATATATTATTTTATATTTTATTATATTTTATGTTAAAAACATATGCATTTTCTATAACAATAGTCATATTAGATGATTGGATTTTAATTTTGGCACATTTTAATAAATTAAAGAGAGTATTAAATAGACTTAACTTTTTACTAAATTTATCTATCCTATTGTAACTATTATTAGAAAAATTGATCATCTCTAAAAACCATTTATAGAGTCATAGCCTTCATCCTGATATCTCTTATTCCTAGCCCTTACACAACTATGTGGTGAAAGATAAAAATATGAGTTGTATTATAGAAGAGCCTACTTAAAAGATATAGTAGCAAAATATGTATCAAAGATAAGAAGGTAGTAAAAACTTTTAGTGTTAATGTTGCCTTTTTGTAAAAAAATGCTCCTACAGCAATTCCAAGCTTCTTTTGATAATTAAAGAGTAGTATGTAAGAACATAATTTAAGAGGGTTTTTTTAGAATTAGCTTTAATTGAATTGGATGCATATTAAATTTCAAAGTGCTTTTCAAAGAAAGAAATGTATTCAAAGATTTGAGATTTTGAAAAATAAAAAGAGACTTATATATTTAAAGAATTTGTAAGTATTGTAACAAATTCACAAGTGAAATTTTGTGATTTTTTTATTGTGCTTGTCTTGAAAATTTGAATTTTAAGGTCAATAAGATCTTCTGTGATTCTAAAAAAATCTACCGATTCAATTAAAGCAAAAATTTGTGAGAGCATATAAGGCTTTAGTATCTACATATTTTTAGAATCGAGGAGCAATTGAATGGTTAAACAAGGAAAAACACTACTCAAAGATCAATATCTAGATTTTAGAAGGAAGACGGCCGACATCCAAAAGTTCTAGGAACTCTTTCTCTCTATTGGTGAATTTCCTCAAAGTTTGTATTCTTATTATTTACTTACATTTTAAAATTTTGGTGAAATTTAAGTTGAAATTAATGGTTTGATAAATAACTATTTGAATTCTATACTGCTATAGGAATTGGTTAGGATTTACTTAGGATTTACTTGGATTTTTTTAGGATTTATTTAAGATTTCATTAAGGTTTATTTAGAGCTATATTAGAATTTGGTTAGGATTACTTAAGATTTCTATTTTTATTATTTTAAAATAATTATTTATTATTTATTTAGATTTTTTTATTTTTAATATTTTTTAGAATATATATATATATATATATATATAAGGTTAATTTATAATTTTGATGTTTTTTTTTATAATTTCTTTAAAATTTTCTTTAAAATTTGATTAAAGTTTGATTAAGATTATTAAGATTTAATTAGAATCTATATAAGTTTCTATTAGACTTATTAGGACCTTATTGTTGCAATTCCTATTTATCTTCCATATCTAGGTGCCCATTCCATTTTCAAGCAAGATTTTTTGTAATATGACACAACTTCTTCTATTCCTAACCTTCATCCCAACCTTTCTCCTATCTCCTTATTGTTTTCTATGTTCCCAACCCTCATCTCAATCCTCTCAATTCTCAACCCCTATTCTCAATGTCTATTACCATTACCAAATTTCATACTAATCTGAGTTATGGTTTTTAGAGTCTGCAAAGAATTTAACGAAAAAAAGGTCAGAGAGGAAGAAAAAGTATGTTAAAGCAAAGAATAAAGATGATTACGCTAGTCATAACTGGGTATATTTTACTCAATTTGTATTGATGAAATACAAATTCTTTCTAAATGCTTTACCTACCAATCTTGAGGAGATTACTTATGCTGCCTTGATTTTCACAAACAAGTGAACTTCATCTATGCTCCTATATATTAGTTTTTGCATTTATTAAGATTGTTGTCTTAAGTATCTATATACCCTTGTGATGTCATAAATCTTGTCTATACTAATAGTTGCTTAAACAAACTAGAAAATCATTTAATCACAGTGAGCTTTACTTTTTTATTGATTGCATGTATTTTGCAAGTTTCACAATTGTAATTATTGTTCTTTCTTTCCTAAATCATAGTCTCTTCATAGAATTCTTCTTGAAATTTCCTATCTCAATTAGAAATAATAAACTTTGTTGCAAATTGAATTTATGTTTTATTTTTAACTTTATTTGAATTTTCCTTATTCTAAATTGTGTCAATTTATTAAAATATTATCTAAATGCACAACATGTATAAACTCAACTCTAGTGTCGAAGTTTTTTTTATAGTAATGCAAAATTTCAAATAGAATTACTTATTTATTAGTGTATAAAGACTATTAGTATAAGTTTCAAAACTATTCATAACTTAAAAAAATTAGAAACAATCTCCATGCTTATCATGCACAATTATAGAGCTATTGGAGGTCGAATTAGAGTGTTAATGCCAAAGAATGGTAAAATTTTGTCACTCAATGTTCAAAGAATTTTTTGTGCTATAATTTGGCTCTAGCATTAGTGCCTAATATCCTCAAAGTAACCTTCTATGTTTTGCTACATAAAAAGAATGTAAACATATTTTCTAATTCTTTCTAAAATCTCATCACTCTTAATTTGAATGGATAAAAACGCACACCAATTAGGTTGTGCTTATTGCACTTGCCTTTATACTATGTTTTTCCTCACATTTATAAATGTTTCATATTCTACTCTAGCAGATCTTCTCCTCTTCTTTGACCTTTTTTTCTTAAATTCATGGCAAACTCTCAAAACAATAACAAGAATCAATATAAGTACTGGTAACAATGACTAAGAGTAGAGGGGGTTGAAATGAGGGTTGAGAATATGGAGATTGGAGGGATCTGGGGAGAAGTAGGAGAGGGAAGGATGAATACTAGAAATGGAGGGAGCATGGGCTCAAAACAAGGGAGGGGTTGGAATAAAGGGCATGATTTTAATGATGGTTTCTAGAAATGATCCATTTTTCTAATGATAATTACAATAGGGTGGATCAGTTTAGTAAAAAGATGGGTCTATTTAACATTCTCCTAAATTTATTAACAACTTATGACAATCAATACAATTTTTATAATTTATTTCAAAATTATTGACTCTATAGTTATGAAAAACTAATCCTTGTGATTCTTACATTTGGCATCACAATTAAAATAACAAGTCCATGAAAATTCAATTTTTACATGTTTTTTAATTAAAAAATTGTTGGCACTATTTTTTTGCAAATTTAAAGTATTTTTATTTTATTTTATTTTATGTTCACATTGAGACATGATTCTATAAACAACAGATCTAATTTTGTTGTTCAATAAACTAGATTGTTACATCCAAAGTTTCAAAACTCAGCAAATTTTAATCATGTGAGGATTCTTTGCAACCGTTACAAATAAAAACTAATTACCCAAATGTATTCACTCTTTCTACACCATAAACATGAATATAGTAGTTCATAATTTCAACTGGTAATTTCTAATGCAAGTTTAAAATACCTTCATTAAGTTAATCCCCCATTATATGTTGATTGAATTCTACTCTTTTCTTCTTTCTTTCCTGTTGATTTAAAGATTTGTTGACTTTAATAAATTGTACTAATCTGTTCATACCCTTGTTGCTCTACCTTGTCAATGCATGTGTAATCCTTTCTTTCCAAGACAACTTCATTCACCTCAATAAAGCAATGAAATGAAAATATCCAACAGTGCCAAAAACTTAGCTTCAAATTAAAATCATAAATCTTGAAGATCTAACTTCTGGCTACGTTACTCCACTTTTTGCAATCACCATGAACCACTATCAATAGAAGTAGCTAATCACAATTGAGATTAGATTGTGACAACGTAGTTGGAAACTTAGAAAGAGATTATTAAATAGGAACACTACATTTGGATATCAGCACATCAAATAAATTGTTGTGCTTCTTATCACTGGTTGAATTGAAAATAACTGCAACATTTTCTCCACTTGCCATCTACTTAGTTACATAACGTCTCAAAGCTCGAAGCTTAGTGGACGCATGCACTGCTTGATTCTGCGTAATGAAGTAATCCCTGCAGAAAGCAGATCACCAGAGTCTACTGGTGCCCTCCGCAGGCATTATGGACTTTTCTCCATCTTAGACCCTCCAGTAAACACGGAGGCCTTTACACCAGGTGGGCACCAGAAAAATTTAAATGGGCATTTCCTCGAGGGCTTTATAACAACAGATCACAATTCACAAGTGACAAGAGACCAAACTTCACAAAAGAACACAATATGCAATTTGCTTAATTCGACATTACAATAATGCATAAAAGACAAATCATAACTATGCTAAGGCTACTGTACAAATGCAACTTATCACAGCACTCAGCTCTATTGACCTAACTTTCCTGTTGATGTGCACATCTATCAGTTTGACCTCGAACATGACACTGCACCCTTACAACCTTTACATCTCTCCGTTCAATGGGGTCATACCTGCCACTCAGGAATGTAAGACTCGCTTGTCCTTCGCTTGGCCACTGTTGCTCACTAAAGCTCAAGGTTTGAAATGAAATGAAATTTCCTCTATGAACCCATACTGAATCGGAAGTAGCAGACAAACCATAAGCACACCAAACAGCACATCTCTTCGCAATGCTTAAGCTCGAGCACCCTAGCATTGAATTGCACGCGCTTCGAGGCCGTTCACCAGAGTGACCATTCAGAAGGTTATCCTTCCAGCAGGTCTGTCGAGATATGCTACCCATCTTTAGTTAACGTGATATCCATCCAAGAATGGCTCTGGTTATCCACGCAAGTATGATTCACTAAAAGCTGGGAGGAACGATAGTCGGTTGGCTCTTAGCTTCCGCGCAGGTACAATCTCCTGAAGTATGAACACGAGTTTAACGGTCGGCACCATATTCTAGCTGTTGCTGCCTGCAGCTTCAGCTGCCCTTTGCCGCATCATTTCCATTACCGCAACCCTTCGTCGTGATTCCATCTGTTGCTGTAGTCGGCGCAAATGCTCTTTCAAATCCCTAACAAGACCAATTCCCATTAAGCAGATAGGTCACCCACATGGCATATATTCTCAGAAAGTACGCACTGATGTAGTTCACAATACGTGGAAACTCCTAGAGAAAACTCTCAGATTCTACAAATTGCTCCGATGGATAAACGATATACTAGTCATAAAGTTTGTCAAACAGGTTGCTATGGCAGTAGTACAAGCCTGATTCATTCCATCCAATCAAATAATCCAAAGTGAACAAAGGCAGAGCCGTACTTGCAACGAGGTACCCTGCACTCGGATTCCTTGCAAGCTCTAGCATGAAGCTGCAAAAGGTACCACATTCTCTTGCACATATTACAACCCCCAGAGGCTCTAACTCTGCAGTTCATGCCATGCCGAAACAGGCCTTTCACACTACGACATTTGGGGTATTGGCAGGTACTTATTCCACACTGGGATGCGTGTACCAGTAATTCGAGCATTTTCCGCAACTGTTCCAACCCGCCAAAAACCACAACAGTATTATTGCAGCAGTTAAAAGAGACAAGAAAACTTGTAGCATTCAAGAAATGAGGTGGGAGCACATAGCTGGTTCACAAGTCGCAATGATACAAAGGCTAACATCAAATAAATAATAGCACTGAGGTGTAAATTTGTAGGTGATTTGAAAGAAGACCTGAAGAACTCTCTGTTGTCGAGCTTCCTTGTTCTGGGCAGTTCGATCATGGAACGGAGTAAGTTTATGCGGGTGTTTCGCCGAATCCTTGCACTTGTTACAAAGGTCAAAGTCGGCACAAGTTTCACACCGCCAGCCATTACCCGCCTCAATATCCTGATGACAAATATTACAGCTCACCACAAATGCCGGAGCTGTTGGATTGTGCAAATGGTAAAGCACCATCATGGAAGAATGTTTTGCGCGTCGCAAAGTGTCGTATTGGTAGTGATTCCCTTGACACAAACTTAGGAACGCTTGTCGAGTGTCAAAGAACTCGCTTTCCATGAGTTCATCCTTATCCTTTGTGTCACTTGGAATATCAAGGATTTCAAACTAACCACACAATCACTCCACATTAGTTAAGGAAACTCCACGAACTATTTCAAAGAACCTGATGCATAGCTTGAACAGATGAAAAGCCTAGTTCTCATTATGGTGAAAATTGTTCGAAACATCACCTCAAGTTCACTACATAACCATCACCAAGCCTCCAAATCACGTCATGTGTATATAAAAGGAAAGACATTAAGAATATGGCAGGCTACAAGAAATAATTACCGGCTGAAAAGAATGCAGTTCTTTCATATTAATGGGATGCCTCTCCCTCTCGTCAAGCTTTAGTTCTGCATCATAGCATCTGGAAGTTGCACACACACACAGGAACTGTTCAAGACCCTGAAGAAGGAAACCATGTGGACATATCGAATAAATATAACAGAACATGTATGATGCTTGACAAGATCTAAAAAGCCAATACAACTTCTTCACACATGCAATACAGTCAACGGTTAACTGCAAGAGATTCTGCAGCGAAGAAACTTTCAGGATGCAGCCACATTGACAGAAAGATGATAGCGAACTTACTTATCACAAAGCTGAAAGTTTTTACATTGCTTGCAAACCCAGCGACAACCGCTAACAATGAAGAGACGGCAGTGCGTGCATGCATGATGCATATGCACCATTATAAAGTCCTCCTTCATTGGGAAGATTGATTCTCCCAACTGCATCCAAAATACGAAATAGATGTCAAAGGTTGCTTTAACGACCACAAAGATGAAAAAAACTTGTCGATTCCAAGACCGGACATGTCAATGATCCAAAACGTACCTTCTGCATAAGTTGGCTATCTTTGCTGGCATTGCTAGCCAGCTCGGTTTGGGCCATTCCTTTAGAAGAACGTTTAGTTGGCTGCTTTTTAGTCTTGCCCTTCTTCAAACCATTCTTGCGAACGTCCTCCTCTTCCTGCTGCAATTGCACTATCATGTCCTCGGCTGCGCCTGGCCAGTAGTCACCATCAAAATATGGCAAGCGAGCTGCTGTCACCTGCAAGATCATACAAATTGTGAAGTCATCTAGATGATTAATATCCCAAGAGAAACCTTATCCTGCCTAGTTTTAACTCCAATATCAAAAACTTTGTCCAGACACAATGAAGTAATTGATAACTGATGTACACTACAAATCACTCTACAGGGCCAACATATATTTTGGCACATGAAGGTCAAAAATACCTTAGCTTTGCATTCGCCAGTTGAGGTAAAAAAGTAGTCATACAAATTAGTGATCTCAACAACAATCCCATCATTGCTTGCCTTTCGCAGCATCGTCAAGTACCAATCTCGAAGCTTGTCGGATTTGGGTGTCTTTTGGATTTCCGGATGACAATATAAAATATAATCCTCACCCTTTAATGGTGGGCAAGCCCAAATGTAACAACTACTAAAACCTCTCCTCCGACAATAGTCTAAATAGCCAATCTGCAGAAGTATGTACACAATTAAGTTTAATAGGCAAACAGAAGAACAGTAGCAGCAGCAGCAGAACCAAAGTTCTATTACAGAAAATATTAACACAAATAGCATCCAAAGTGGAAACATCTTAGATTATAACTCAAACTTCAAAATGCAACTGGAAGATAATCAGCCTTCACAAAATAGGCCTAAATTTAACGCATTAGAAAACTCTAACTCAATTTTTACGACATTTGATGTTTGATACACCCAATTGCAAAGATAACAGAATCCTGTTCACATAATGTTACTGGTGCACAGCAACTCAGTATATCTCCAGCAGACAGGATGAGTGCTCACCAGAATTTCATGGTAAACAAAAGTGCGCAGAGCCTCTCCATTGACAGTCCGCACATCTGGGCGAAAGTATTTCACAGAATCCAAATATGACAAGTACACCCTTCGCTGATTTGGAAGAGAGCATTCCATCCCAAACTCTTGGACATACATGCCGAAGAGACAAACTTCTACACCTTCGATCTTTTGAAACAGCAATACCACCTGAATAACAAAAATAGCAAACAAGTCCCTATAAATACGCTTATATTAACATTGAAACCACAAAGCAAAAACATCGTGAACATGAGTTTTGAAAGACAAGCTTGGAAACTTTGTTGGCCACACTAAACCACAAGCAAAATATACCTTCGACTTGTATGGATATTCAGTTGGATAGTCTTCTTCTTGAAAAATTTCCAAAAACCGTTGCTTGACTTCCAGCTTCTTGTCCACAGAGGACACAACTCTGACCACTAAGGCCTCTGCACTGGCAACCTAAACTCATAGTATCATACAGCAAGTCAGCACTAATCAAGCAATGGAGATGTAGCAAGAGACAGCATTGCTTTTGCAATTCTGTCGAAATTAAAACTAAGGTCGTGAAAGACATAGGATTGAAACATGACAGCTCGAAAGATCAAATCCAAGAATAACTACAGTAACTAAATAAAAGCACGTGCAAGTACCTCATCCACGTTCTTCCCTTGAACTTTGGCCCGCTCTGAACGCTCTTGTTTGAGTTTACGTGCCAATCTTTGCTCCAAATGATCACTTAAGAAGGTTTTTGGCAAGTCCTTAGCACCTAAGACTGCAGATGGGGGCAGTGGCTTACGTTCACCGTTTTCCATTTCCACACAACAACACTCTGGACAAATGTATTCACTGTCTCCTTCATTTCGGCGACCGTTGAATAAAGCACAAACTTGGTGCTGCCACAAGTTGCATTTATCGCATTGTACCCACTGTAACCAAGAAGAGGAAATCGTTTAGCAAAAGATGGGGTAACGCATAAACATTATTAATGAGAAAGATAAAAATCAAAAGCCTTTTCCAGCCTTTCACGTCACCAATGATCACACAAACAGACACTGAAATATAGAATTCAAAACACATTCAACTCCAAAAATCGTACGAGTACGAAATCCATACCGCCTCCTCTGTTTCTTCGTCATTCTTTCGCTTCTCCAACTTTGATTTTGGATAAATCATTCCCTCCATTTCCACATTCTCTGATCGAACTTCATTGTAACAAGGCACACAAAAGTAGTGCTTAGTGTCTCCTGAGCCAGTAGTGTAATATAGAGCGTTCCTCTTTATACGGGCCCCACATGCAGTGCAGTAGATTGGAGGGGGATCAAACGTCAACTTCTCCACGGCACATAGTTGGCATGCGTTTTCACTAATTGTATACTCACTCAAGGCCTGATTTTTCTCAGCCTTGGCCTTGCTCTGTTTAAAGTCGGGATTACCAAATTAGTATTATCATAGAAACATGAAAACAAAATAATATAAAATTCAGAACTACGAGACATTGGAAGCTCAACGCCGCATCTGACATGAGCAAAGAAAATGAGCTTCATGAAAGAAGTGTAGATAGAACTATACCTGGCCAACCCATTGGCGCAACCCTGTAATGTGCTCACGAATCTGCTGAGGTGTGAAGAGCTCAGTTAATGATGTGCCTAAGTTCTTAGGTTTTCCAGTCTTCGTTGGGACTGTTGCCATATTGCTCACTGGCGCGGCAGCCGCACCTAACTCAACCTTAGGAGCAGAAGTAGGTACAGTGGCACCTCCATTATGAGGTTCAGCTTTGACTGCTGCATTCGACACCTGCTGTCGGGGCTCTGACTTAGGTTGGCTAGGTACCTCTGTTTTAGCACTGGTAAAACCACTATGCATAAACACACCTGTCTGGTGCCCATTTAACTGCTGCTCAACTTTGGTTGAAGCAGGTCCTGAGGTGGCCGTAATCTCTGTCTTCACTGTAACTTGCTCAGGTTTTGTCCCCATGATTTGGGGGCGTGCTGGTATTTGTGCAGGACTTGGTTTAGGTGCTGCTGGCTTACCGGGTGCTAAGGTATGTGTAGAAGTTCCTGGCAAAGGCAAACTGCTGCCACTAACAGGTTCCGTTTTGGCACGCTTCGTGGGTGGCTGTTGTACATCCGTTTCCTCCAAAGCAGCAGCCTCGCCGGTAGGACAAGACTCTACCCCATTGGGGGATAAAGCAAATGATGACACACCTGGATTAGTCGAGTTGGATGCAGCTCCTGCTGCTCCTCCCTGTTGCGCAGCTGGAGGATTAGCTTGCCCTCTTTGTTGATTCATGACTTGTTGGCGTACAGGTCCGCAAACTGGACACCGTGCATCACGACAATGCTGGTGATGGTGAAGCAAAGTGCGAGATGCATTGCATCTACTGAATGTGCACTCCCGATCTCGGCATGATGCTATATGAGTCCAGAGCTGCCTTGCCATGTGACAGTGAGGAGTGATCTGGCATTCTCCTTCTGGAGCTGTACACTTACTAGCATGACGCAAAAACAACAACCATCTCTGCTGCTTTGAGTACTGTTGCTGCCTCTGAGCATCCACGTTAAGCCCACTAGATTCAACCAATCCACCTGACGGAGCTCCATTGGCTCCAACTTGGCCAGAGGCATTCATGGTAGAAGCTCCAACTTGGCCAGAGGCATTCATGGTAGAAGAAGGAAGAGTAGAGCCATTTGTTCCTCCAGCCTGACGAGCTTGTGCTGCCTGGTTTTGTTGCTGTTGCCCAGGAACAGGCACTCGTTGGTAAGAGGCTCCTTGGCCAAAAGTGTTTTGCTGAGGTGTCTGATTAGACTGCACGTGCTGTGTTTCTTGTTGCTGCACAAATTGAGACTGAGAAGAGACCTGAGAAGCACCAGAACCTCGAAGTTGCTGGGTCTGTGGTTGCTGAGACTGCTGTTGCGATTGCTGCTGTTGTAGCTGCATAACCTGTTGTGACGGCTGTGCATGCCCCTGCCTCTGCTGCTGGATCATAGTGAAAACTTGCCGTTGCTGTGAAGCAGGTTTGGGAAGACGATTGAGCTGCTGCTGCTGCTGCTGCTGCTGCTGTATTGCTTGTTGCCTCTGTGCTTGTGTAGCCTAGCAACAATCAGCCAAAACTTAGAGGTTAGCCAACAGTCAACCATAAATTGAGCTTTTCGACTTTATAAGAAACAGCTCTTTTCAAATGTTGAATTTTCCAACCTCCCCAAACAGTTGTACTAATCAAATGAGCAATGTTATAAGATCCACAACTGAATATGGTAACCTAATTTAAGCATCTATACCTAGGCGATGAAATAGATATCACTACAATAAGCAAGTCAAATGCTTGAGTTTTTACATACGGAAACAAATATTACTCTGAACCCTCAAAACAATACTGCTGGAGGGTGTTACTTTTTTTGTATATTACCACGATTAGTTTCAGTTTCTTGTTTTTAGTAGCTCCAAAGCAATAATATAGTACATTTAAAACCGCCCCCTTGTACAATGTGAACGAGACCCATCAAAGTTGCATATGCTTGGCAGTGTAAAGAATCAATTCACGCCTGGAAATCCGACCCCATACTCAAACAATCCGGCTCTAATTTAAACAATTCATTCATCCTTAAAACCAAGGCTTTATTATTCCACTTACCTGCTGTTGTTGATGCGGTCGTATCTGCTGTTGCTGCTGCTGTGGTTGCTGCTGAATAGTAGACATTTGCTGCAGGGATCACCATGTGAATCAATAGATAGAAAATGATAACAAGGCAAGACATTTTCTTCTACTTAGCTTTTAAGTCTTTGGATTCAAACAATAAATTAATAAAATAGCCGCAGAACTTTACAACTCAGAAGCCGCAAAAAACTGGCAGCAGCCACAACAACTAGCTGCAAACCTGAGAATGCAAGCTCTGATGCTTGCGTGTAAACTGTTGCGCATCAGACGCTGTCTGCTGCATCTGCGATGTTACTGGTTGCTGTTGAGACTGTTCCAGCTGCAAATACATATTCCAACAAGAAACATCCAGAAAGTCATTAACAAGGCAAAGACCAAAACCCACTACTGGCAGAAGACAAGCTGAGTTACGCTCAGTGTAACGACAATAATTTCAATAATAGGGCAAAACCAATACAAGCATGAGAAAAATGGCGCTTGTATCATCGAACACCAGCTTCGTTTAAGCCACCTACCGCTGAAGGCTGCTGCCCTTGAGAATGATATAGACTCTGATTATTAGATAGCTGGTTAAGCTGTTGCTGCTGATTCCTGGACGCCAAGCCATTATTTAGCTGATGCTGCAAATTATTGCGTTGATGAACCTGCTGCTGAAAACTGGCTTGCTGCTGCTGCTGCTGCTGCTGAGTTTGCTGTGATGGCAAGCCTGGGACGGGTATCATTTTCGGGGCCTGTGAGTTCGCAAATGATGTCATACCCAGGTTGTTGGGTTCAAGACCTCCAGAAGAAAAATTGCCACCAGCCAGGTCTGCTGCATTCATTGCATAACTACCCCCTCCCATGAGTGCCATTGAATTTGGCAAAGACTCTGCATAATAGCAATCCAGTTGAGTAAGCATATGTCAATACAAGCTAAATGTTACACTACTATTTAACATTCTTGACAGGAATGTTAAATAAATACTTTGGTATCTTGCAACACGCTATCCTCGAAAAAAAGGGTTTTACTTTCAACGTCAGAGAGACTTAAGTTCACAAACAAAACCCCTGTTGCTATCATACATCAGGAGTGAGAAAAAGAGCACGTAAATGGCACAGAACCAACGTTGCAGGGCTTACGTTGAATTCGTAGATTTTGAGACCGTTGATGTTGATGTTGCTGTTGCTGTTGCTGTTGCTGTTGCTGCTGTTGGGACATCCGCTGCTGTTGTTGCTGAAGTTGCAAACTAGAGTACTGAGACGTGTTTAAAAAAGAAGCCGGTGAGTGCAGGTTAGGAGATCCGTTCATTAGGTGCTGCCCATTACCAAGCACCGTTCCATTGTTCAGACCTCCATTACCCATCCCAACTGAGGAGCCAGGCTTCCGCTGCTGTTGAACAACACTTGCTAGACCTCCACTCAGTTGCCCGTTGATGCCATCAAACATGCGATTACCTGGCCCGACTCCAAACTGATGCTGCTGTAACTGTCCTACACCAACTCCACCATGTGGGAGCCCTAGGCCACATGACGATGCTGGAGCCATCCCCAATCCCTGAGAAGTGTTGAGTCCCGGAGTTGGGATCATCTGACTACCAGCTGCTACACCCAAGCTGGATGGTGTGTGTCCATTTGAAGCCATACGTGCGCTACCCAAGGGTTGCTGAGAATCCAACGTATAATTAGAACCAGAAACTCCAGGAGTAGACATCGAATTGCTGCTAGATATATTATACATGTTCGTGTGTCCAGAGGTGGGTATCATGTTGCTAGAAGTCCCTGGTGTTGGCATCATAGTTCCGGCACCATGGCTCATGGCATTCATAACATTGTTGTTACCCCCTGAAATTGACATCATGCCATTTAAGCCTCCTGCGATGCCAGCTCCTGGCTGGATCATGTTCCCTGTGCTCCCAGGTGTGGGCATCATTGAGCTAACGCCGCTAGCAGTGGGCATCAAGGTGTTCCCGTTCCCAGGTGTAGGAATCATATTGGACGTTGCACCAGGGGTTGGCATCATTACACCCATGGGAGCGTTTGTGGCCATCGAATGCGGTTGTTGCTTTGGCACCATGCGCCGTGCCACAGACTGCAGCCGTTGCTCTAATGTTTTAAGATCTGCGTATTCCTCCTATGTACCGCCAGCAGCATCCCAAGGTCTACATCAGAACAGACTTGTTTCTACTCCAATAAACCACTCACACATGCATTTCAAACGCTAGCAAATGTATGTTCAACGACATTCACATTCGGAACCCCTCATCAGCTCCGTAGACAGTTTCCGCACCGGGTGTTACGAATATTTCTTGCACCAAGTGTTATTCGTGCTGTCAATAATTCAGTTCCTCACTACACGAATTGAAAACTTTCCCAAAAAACAAAAAACAAAAAAATTACATAATATCAGCTTTAAATAAAACTGCCTCACTAAATGCACATACCTTGCTAGGTGCATTCTTGTACAATGCTTCCTCTAGCCGCTTCACAAAATCAGGAAGCTTTTGCTGCCACTCAGGAGTCACATGTGGCTTCCGATTCTTGAACAGCTGCAGTCTGTCGAATTTGCATAAAAATTCTCAAATTAGCCTATCTCGAAAACATACCTAAGCAAAAGATGTCGGGATATTTAACCAACGTACCAAATCCTGTTTGTGAACTAGGAGTAGTGTCAATGAAAAAAACTTCAATAAGCAGCAAAATCAGTCTCTAGATCACAAAACCCATCAGGGTTGCGTAAAGTTCTAACATATCAAGATAAGAGAACCAAACCTCCTGCAAATTCAGATAAACTTTATACTACAGAAATCTCCCAAAGCATACGGAGAATCCTGAATATCTCAAGTCCTTTCACCAAGAAGAGAGACAGGACAAAATCAAACCTCCGTTCCAATACAGCTAATCCGCTGACGCTATCGTAGCAGAAGGTGAGACATTACGAAGACAAAATTCTCTGCTCCCAGCCCCTACAATCTTTTCATATTGCTACGACATGGTGGTATTTTTATGAGCCGAGTAGGCAACTCTATTCTGCAGGAGAGCCGGTAAAAACCGAACGAATCAATTCATGGCTGCCTTGAGGTGTACAGATGCCCCAATTTCACGCATTTGCATGAGACAATCAGTTGAGGTTCTAGAGGAGCGACCTAAGTTCGAGCCTCCGATCTTAAACCACGGTCGTCTAAGTGAGTGAGTCTACTAATCTCCATTTGTCATAACGAGGACTGACATGTAATTAATCTAAAGTCGCTGAAACAAACTCTGATGGCCGCGAGTACTATACGTACAATCCAGGCAATAGCAACAAAAACCTGCATCTTTCTGGGAAAGTACCCATGATAGTGCTATCAAATACCAGAATTTGAACCCAAATTCTGCAGTAACCTATCTCAGCAAGTAACGACAGAAGCTAACGCTTAAACGATGCCAGTCAGACATTGCTCACCGGAAGTGAACAGTATCCACCTCACTATGGGTCACGGTCACGGTCACGGTCGTAGAAGGACATATGACCACGCCCATCTCTGTCAGTCGCTACTACTTGCAATTTAGAACCGAGAAACCCCCTTCTCCACTCCCCCCAGACGGAAGCTAAACGAAAGTTCTTGATGGAGAAACGGAACAACTGAAATGCAACTACCACTTCTAAAAGATTGTACAGCAACTGAGCGACTGCATGCAGATGCAAACCACAAGATCTGATCTTAAAGTGCCTAAACATATTTCGTCATGACTCCGGAGACAAGGTATACAAGGTACTCACATGTTCTCAACGATATGGCGGCGGAGGCTGGTGTCCTGCTCTGATTGCCATCGCGGCCATGTACTCGGTAATCCCGTACTGTTGGGGGCGCTTCCATTCTGCTGCGCCCCGATTGCTGCATGACCTAGAACTTGCCCTGGAACCTGCGTTTGTGTCTGCATTTCTGAACGCCTTTACAGTTCCCAAATACCTGTTTCTACTCCTGATCCGACAACCTGACTATGTACTACGTCACTGGCCACTCCATCTAATTACACTGCTTTCTACTCTGCCCCTGAACATGAAAACCATTGCCTGCACTCCTGCAAGTTCCCCTACCGCTTCCAAGTTCATCTGGTGCTTTGTGAAACCCTGCTCCTACATTCCCGGTCCCTCATGCTCCAACCTAAGCCTTCTCCGACATCCAGTATCACCTTCCCTTCACTCCACCTATATAGCCAATAATAGTCCACCCTGCAATCAAATCATCCAGCAGGTAACCCTCATAAGAACATGAAGGTAGAAAATGCCCATCACGAAACGAAAGACCTTGGATTGCAAGTAGCCACACCTGACTGCCACCCTGAATAAAAGCCACCAACTCTCGAACATCATTCTCGAGCAAAAGTACATGCGAATTGCAGGTGGGCAGCGAATGGGTATATCATTGGCGAGGATCAATTCACCGAATTTGCCACCACAAACCACTGGCGGGTAGCTACGGGCAAGAGGTCGTCTGAAAAAATCTGATTGACAGCACGAAGGGATTCAATCCCTTGAAGTGGGAGAAAAAAATTCTGCGGGTTTGTGACTCTAGGAAAAACCGAACACAAGAAAACCTGAAGCGAAAGAAGGAAATGAACGACTTACCCTTAATTTGACAAACTAGACAGCTAGAAAAACTGATCGACAACAACGCAAGAAGGCAAGTTCCTGAATCATATTGTGCATGTCCTATCGATAAGGCAGGACAGGTGATGGTTCAAAAATAGGCCGGGGTCTCTAAACCTTTCAAGTAGATTCCACACCAAATTATGAATATTGTGATGCTAACATCGCGGAGGGCAGACGGAATTAAGTAATTGCGGACCTAGAGTGAGAATTCAACAAAAAGGCGGAGATTGAATTGGCTTGGACAAATCTAAAACCTAAAACGACCCTCAGAGGGGGGTGAGAGGTAAAATAAGCCCTCTACGGTGAACTAGGGCAATTCATAACAGCAGAGGGAAGGAGGCCTTTTTGATAAATATGTAATTCGGTCCATTAAAGTAAAAGAGAGGGTTTGGAGCAGAGCACACAAGAAACCCCTCGCGGACGCAGGACAGCCTAATTCTCCATGGCTAATGTGGGCTGCGGAAACCAAAACCCAGAGTGCAAAGAAGGGGGGGCACACGAGGGCAGCGGAAGGGAGCACGCGAGAGAAAGGGCAGAATGAAAGACCTACTAAATACCCTGTTTTCTGCTGACCTGGTCACAGAGTGCAGAGAGAAGTGACGCCATCCGTGGGAGGCACACGTAAATAAAATCACGGAGCATATGAAACCATAAGTTCGCAGGGAAAGTAGCCAGAAAACATAGGAAGAAGAAGAAGAAGAAGAAGAAGAAGAGGCACCACCACCACCACCAGAGGAAGGAGGAGGAAGAGGGCAAAGGGATGGGGGGAGGGGCAGAAACAGAGAGGAGAAGGGGGGGGAAATATGGGGGACTGGGGTTGACGGTGGAGACAGCACAGAGTTGGAAGAAGAAGAGGAGGAGAAAAGAAAAAAAAAAAGGTGGGGGGGGGGGGGGGGGTCTGGAAAGGAGCCCAAAGGAGTAGTACCCGTAGTCAAAAGGAGAAAAAAAAGGGAGGGGAGGGGAGGGGTGCTAACAAGTGCGGGGTGTTGTTGTAATGGTAATTGTGGTAATAATGGGGGGTCTGGGTTTGGGTCTGGGTTTGGGTCTGGTCTGCGAAAAAATGGGGTGATGAGCAGTCCCAAAAAAAAAACCCGAAGCCAGCCACCCCCCCCGCCCGAGAGAGAGAGAGAGAGAGAGAGAGAGAGTTATAGGGAGGGCGAACCAAAGGGCCAAAAAGGAGGAGCCAAAAAAGAGGAGGACCAGGAGGAGGAAAAGGCACCCTTCCTTCCTTCCTTCCTTCCTTCCTTCCTCGGGCTAAATAGGGGGCCAAAAAGAAAGAATGAGAGTGAGAGAGAGAGAAAGAAAGAAAGATAAAAGCCCCCCAACTCCCCTCCCCTGGCTTCTATATTTGTAGAATACGCGGCGGTACCCGGTGTGCTCTGCCTGCGTTAAGACCCGCTCCCTCCTTCCCTCCTTCCCTTTTCCGTTACCTCCCTGCCCTTCAATGGCCTCATCCTGCAATTGGACTCCAAGACCCCCACCCCTCGCTAGTCTTCAAAAACTCTTCCCTCCTCCTCCCTCTTCTTTCTTTCTATTTCTTCCTTCTCCCCCTTCCGCGAGCCAACCTGCTCGCTTCAGAGCCAACATGGCTATCTCAGTTGGACACTGACATCCATCTATTCATAGACTTCCACTTGGTCTTAGGAATAGTGATTATCTCAGGCATTGGAGAAGGGCAGGGAAAGAAAAAGCTTGGCATATCTACTCTTTGTTATTGCTATGTTGCTTGGCATTGTGGATGGTCACTGTGTTTGCTGTAAAAATGAACTTTGCTTATTACCAAACAAAGAAATAGTCGAACAAAGAAACAAACTGTATTTAGAGCCAACTTACTACCTACATTATATGACTAAGTTAATTTTAGTTAAATATTTTTTTTACAAAAAGCATAAAGATCTTCATTTGATATATAATCTTATATTATCATTCATATATTTATATATACACAAATACATTTATACACACACACACACACACATGTGTGTGTGTATATATATATATATATGTATAGATAGATAGATAGAGAAAGAGAGAGAGAAGCTTAATAACAAATTTAAATTACTCTTAAAAAAATTATAATTATAAATTTTCTTGAACTTCTTATTAAAAAATTTTGAATAAGTAATAATCATTTATACTTACTAAATTTGAAGTCAAATATATGATATTAGATCTAGACTAATTAGTTTTATGGCATGGCTTTAATATTTGAGCTCTTAAAAATATCTATATTTATTTTTTTAAAATCATATTTAATTAAAATTTACCACTAGTGAGGTACAAATAGTTACTACAAAAAAAAATAGCTTCAAAAAACAATAATATTTTATCACGAAAGAATAGATCCTATTTTCATTCATTTTGTGTATGTATATACACATATATAAAAAAATATTAGTATTTTACTTCTAAAAAATACATAATATTATTTTAAAATAACAATAAATAAATATGTAAAAAAACGAATTATAATGAAGAAAATATCTCTTTTTTTACAATGCATCAATTTTTTTATATTTTACAAAAATATTTTATTGCATTCATAATTTATATTATATCATTTTATAATATTATGTATTTGATAATCATTAAAATAATATTTTATTTTATTATATGTAAAACAATGAATGAATGATATAAATTTCTTGAGATAGAATATAATCATTAAAAAAAAAATTGAATTATAGATAAAAAATACTTATAAAAATTTTTACATTTATATATATATATATATATATATATACACACACACATTTAATTAATTGCACTTAAAGAAGAGACACTTCTTCTATATTCTTCCAAAGATTATTATAAATTTTTATTTGAAATCACCTAATAGAGTGACTAATTTTAAAGCTTTACCAATGGAAGGTTTGTATTGTTTTTATAAACCTTGGAAGACAATCTCATTTAAGAGTTGTTTAAATTACGATTAACAATTATATAATAATATTACAAGATATTTTCTCCATGTCAATACTATTTTAGATGAGCATTTAAATTTTAAAAAATATTAAAGAATTGTATGATCATTATATTAAATAAAGTGTAGAAGTTATTAATACAAAAATATATTATATTAAACAATAATGTTTTTTTCAAATATAAGAATGTAAATAAAATTATGTATGTAGTTTTGAGAGGACTAGGTGGTAATATTAAAAATTAAATTCTGAAATTTGTTGGAAGTGATTTGATATAAAAGGAATATTTAATAGCCACTATTCAATTATACATGTGTCAATTTTTATTTTATTTTATTGTCAAAACGTTGGTGAGAGGTTGCATAGAGGAAATAAGTTGAACTTGTGAGCCCAAATACATGAAAAACTTATGCTTGAACGGATTCGAAGTTCCTCATTGCAAGCGATGCAAGTTCTTTGTTGTGTTTTAACCTAGTTTGAACGGCTCTCATTGCGAGATTGATCCTTTGAATTTGCAAGTGAAAATCATCTAACAAAGCTGAGAAGGTGGTTAAGGTGCGTTTTGGTGCAACCCCAACTTCAGGACCAAAGTTGGATGCAGCCTTGCTTGAATCTTACTTGCTAGCTATCCTTCAGCAGCCATCAGGTTTTAAAAACAAAGAGCAGGTTTGCTCGACTACGCGCTTGATATCCTCAACACACACTTCAGATGCTCTGCAATGCGTGCATATGGTTCGTTGCCGCATGACTGGATTCTGACAACAATGTTTGGAAAAAGGTGCAACAGGTGGACGTTTCTCCAGTTTTCCAAACCTGTGGTGCTTCTGGCTGGTTGGAACAGATGGAAGCGAGATCGACTTCGACAAATTCCTGCAAGAATGATAGTCTTCGAAAAGTTTTCATGCTTTTCCCGCAGATACGATGCTTTTGTGTTGTTCGATGCAGTAAAGACAATGGTTTGCAGTCTCAACTAGATCATGGCAGTCTTCCTTCAGCAATGAGTTATAACCGTTTTCAACAGAAAGAAAAGAAAAACAGAAAAATGAAGTTCACAATGAGTAACCACTTTTAGCTTCCGGCTCACAGAGAGATTCCTTTCTCTTACATCAGATCGCTAGGGAGTACATTCCTTGAGGTGTACAGTTCTACAATCACCTCTTTGTGCAGTATCAATCGTCGCAGCAGGCACCGTCTTTCAACGCAAGTCTCAGATTTCTAGAAATGTCAGTCTGGGGTGAGTGAGCGAAGTGGGGATGGAGTATGAAAAGGATTAAAGATACATTGTGAGTACTTGGGCTTTCAATTTCTTACTGGCGCTCTCATTCGTCCTGTAAAGCTGTGAAATTCATAATCGTTTATCAAACTTTACCAGGGCTAAAGCAGGAGAGCGGCATAGCCTAAGTTTGAGAACATTGCTTGAGAAAGCAATTCACATTCCTTGGTAAATTCCTTTTATTCAAACACTAAAAGCTGCCTACCTGAGATTTTTGGTTTGCTCAAGCGCTTTTTCTTGTGCCTCAGCAACCTCTAAAGCATAGAATTGTTGTGGATTGCTCTCACGGGAATCGAAGCTTTTTTGTCCTTGAAATCTCCAAGGTTCAATTGATCACGTTAGTTAAACCTCCTCTGAAGCCTGTGATAAATTTTTGACTTGTCTGCACATGAAATCAGATTTATTCGCACTGTATACATAACCAGGACCCTATTATCAAGGCATATGGAATCCATTTCAGAAAATACTATGAACTGAGAGGGGATCGGACTGTGTAACAAACCAGCAAAGATAACGGGATTGTTAAATCCAGTGGAGTTTTGCAATCCTTTCAAGTAAGATTGGTTGGTGGTCATGGGGGTCTTGAAGTAGCCCTGTTTAACTCTCACCATTCTGCGGTGATCATTGCCCAAAAACACCAGATCCAACGTCATTTGAGTCAAAACTCACAACTGGAACTATTATCTCTTCTGTTCTCATAGAATACCTCCAAACTTGCTCAAATAAAGAGTCCCAACGGATGCAGTGGCATCAAATTTCCTTCGTGAGTTTCAGAATTATACATCACAAAAGGGGACGGAAAATAATACTGGATGTGGGAAGAGCACCTGAGGTAACTTGCATTTCGACAATCTCTGGAGTAAAGCCCCACGAGTGTCCGAGTTTCATCTCTACGTAAATTGCGAGAGGCATTCGGGGAGTAGGCACACAATTTCTTGCTCAGGGAGTCCATCTCTTCCCCGGTTTTGCGCACTTTCTTCTCATAATAATTCTTGCTTCTGCACCCATTTCATCTTATTCCATGAGAAAAATTTCATCGCATGCCTTGAATCAGGTAAATGTTCTAACCATCCGAATACATGGTGTGCCATCGCTAGTCTCAGCAGCAAACAGAACTCAGACGCACTTGAGGTCTCTAAACGGACAGCAACAAAGGCATTATGGGAGCAGAGCCATTACGTGAGGTCGTCAAATTTGAGCCAGGCTTTCGGGTTCTTGTAACCTGTTGGGACGGCATGGTGCGGTATCTGCTTATCACACCGATTGCATTTGAGCTACATAAATTTGAAGACATTGCAAATAAAGATTTCGATGCCACAAATGGAAATTGCGCGAAAAGTCATCGCAAGAGCATCATTGGAACTTACAGCCCAGATGTCTCCACTAGTGTACCGGACGGTTCTTGCGCTGGTATGAGTTTGGTCGCCATATCCAGAGTACCTGTCGCTGGCTGAGTGCGGTGTGGCTGGTCCATTGTGCGGCACACATTGCCGATGGTTAGGATCCACATACTTGACCTGCCTGGAAATGGGGTCGATAGTGTTAGAAAGCGGCAAACGGGGCACCGTTCTGGAAATTCTCGGAGCCCTGGGGGTTCTTGGTGTTGCGCAACTGGGTCTCGGAGATTTGATCACCATAGCAGGGCACGTCTTGGGCCTAGTTCCGTTACTTTGGATTCTCGCATTCGCCTGCTCTGCTGGTGACCCCATTCCGGGACAGACAACTTACACCTCCGCTGTCATTGTAATCTGTGTCAATGCCCAAAACAATTCCATACGCTCCATTACACCACCACAACCCAAGTTTTCATTATTTACAAATCGATTCTTGCCGTGTACATAACACAATGCGCACAAATTTTCTCTGGTTCACTCGCAATCCAAAGCCTTGTTCCAAAAAGCAGACCAATTGCCTGGAAATTCGAAGAGATCACTGACATGGTCGGCTATTGTCATCGTTATGCTTGAGACGCTAAATACATTGCCTCTTCGAACTGAATTGAAAACAAGTTAGGGCAAGCCATAAATGACTGCTCGGTCGATCAGAAAACAGACGTTCCGGAAGCGAGAAGGAGAAAGCATCATACTTGAGATAATGACGATGACGACGGCAGTTACTTGTCATTCTCAAGAGCGCAAGCAGTGCAGCTTACAATCGGCAAATCCGATCGTAAGCGACGAGATCGACTACCCTTGCATTGCATGCAGATCCATTCATTCTCTTACTTTGCTACTTCCAATTTCGAGATTCATGCGGCGTCGGGAGCGGTTACCTCGGCAGTTTGAACATCAGGCACAGACTTTAACCGTGGCTAAATTAAACCCTGCCTAATCAAAGCCTTAAGCAATTAATCTAGGATTTGGGTATTTCTCACTGTTTCTGTGAAATGTGATTTGGAAATATATTTGTGATGTGCAGCAATCTTGACCCAGTTTTTTAAGGTTTTAGTTTGTGGGGTTTTTGCACACATTAGCTTTCATTTGTTTTCAGCATTGCACTGCCTAGTGTTTATTCACTTAATTTCTTTGTATTTATTGTGGGTTTGTTTTATTCATTGAGTGTATATTGATGTTTTTAATTTATATGTTTAATATGCATGGATACCATTGTGGGGTATTTCATACATGTATTTTTATTTTTAATGTATCCTCTTTGCAATATAATCTTGTGAAAACAGGGACAATTTTTCCTTCAGAATGGTTTTTGGTGGAATTTAAACCACATTCTTTGACAGGGTTTTTGGACATTACAATGAAAGTATTTTCTTTGCAATTGGTATTCAAAATTTCTTCCATATTCACATTTACTGTTTGTTTTGTTTTGTTTTGTTTTTTTTTTTTCCCTTATATTTTTGAAAAGTTGGTAATATATGCTATATTAATGGTTATTTGTGGATATGATTTTGTTTCAATTTAGTGTTGTGTTGTTCTAATTTTTTAGAGAAAGTAATATTTAAGTTTGTGGGATTCATATTTGTCTTTTAAAGGTAGTAGCTAATCTTTGTTCTTTATTTTTTTAATTTAATATGGTTGCATACAACATTTATATAAAAAAAACTATATACAAGATTTATTGTGTTTTACTACAAAAACTGATTATTTTGTTATTTTTTTATTAAGTTTGATACAATAATTGTTCAATGAATCATTTTTTTAAAGTAGTCTATTATCTATCCATATAAAAAAATCAATTAACCTACATTTGTCTAGAGCATCAAAGAATCCCATTGGTTGGAGTAGTAAGATGATAAAACCTAGTTACTTATTTAAACCAATTAACAGGATGTGTCGAGATGGAATGGAATTAGCTGGGTGTCAAGGAGATGAATTTCAAAGAAAGAAAATCTCAATACACTCTTATATCACTTGAAAAGACTAAGAAGTCATTCAAAGATATATTGAACTAAAATGAAGTAAAATGACTATTGCTAAAGACAAGAAGACAAGAAAGTCTTGAAACAAGACTAAAAACTAGAAAAACATTGTAGTGTTGTGATTTGGCTACCATGTGAAAATAATGCATATATATATTTAATATACAATTTATTATACAATGTGGTAAAAGCCACATTATTAAATTTTAGTTACTTACAAAATATGATTAGATTACTACTTTGAAGTAATTAGTTTAAAAAGGCTATTATTGAGGTTGATTTTATGTTGATAATAGTTTTTATATATTTAGAGCCACCTTTATTAGACATTAGTAACTCTTGAAATCTTGTTTTGTTTCTTTTATTTGGTATTTAGGACACATACTATGCAAAACTTATTAGAAAAAGGATCAAAGTAGGATTTTTGTATAAAAAAGAGTAGTTATGCCAATCATATGGATGAATGGAGATGGATGATAAAAATCTCGATTCTTATTGGCCAAAATTCATACCCAATGGACTTTAAGGAGGCTACCTAAGGCCTTATTAGGGATTAAGATTACTCTTTTGAGGGATTCAAACTTAAGAGGCTAGGATCAGAAAGTTTAGGTTTTTGGTTGTGATTTTGGTGCAAATTTTGTGTAATTTGGAGCTTTTATGAAAGAAATATAGGTGCTTAAAGTTAAGGTATTGGTTTTGTATCTATTGTTGCTCTTTTAGACATAACGCATGCATATAGGAAGCAATGAAGGATCAACAGTAGGATTGAAGAGAACACTTTTTTGGCTACACTTTTCATATATTTCTTGATAACTTCTAAGCTAGAATGAAGAAGATATAGGAAGTTAAAATCAGAACTTGCAATCTAAAGGCAGTAAGTGATCCAATTTATTGGTGGTTGTGTTTTGAGCTATATCTTGAATAATTTGACAAGATTTTAGCTCAAAGTTTCTAAAAAGATATATTATCATGTTACTAAACTTTATATTCAAATTTTGTGGCATTTGGAGTTTGGATTTTTGAAATATGAAGAAAATAGTATATAGGTGCTTGTAAATTAGGATTTAGAGAATCTTCTACGATTTTTAAGATGCCAAATGATTTGTAATAGTTTTTTTTTTTTTTTTTTTTTTTTTTTTTTTTTTTTTTTTTTGGGTGTGTGGTAAAGCTTAAGAATAATGCCTACATTATCTAAAAATTTGAAAAAAAACTAGATTAATTGAATTAAGAAATATGAATTTCTAAAATTTAAAGAAATTTTGTTTTTTGTGGGAGAAAAATGTTTTAAAAGGGTTTGGCTACAATTTAGATATCTTATACAAGATAAAAGAATTTTTAGGAGACAAGACTTTATATTTATGTGAAAGATGGAGATATGGAGCTATGACAAAATTATGATATAAAGATGAAATTTTGAAAGGAGATTATAGATTTTCTTTGAGTTTATTAGAAATCTAACTTACTGACAAATAGTTAGTTATGATTTGGTATAGCAAAGAATATTAGGCCATTTCTAGATGCTTTAAAAAGTCTTATATACAAAGCTTCTTAAATATAAAAGGATTTTTATTAATACAATATCTTTTGATATTGTTATATTTACTTGTGTTTTATAAATAAAAATATATCATTTAATGGAACTTAGCTAATAAAATAAAACTAAACTCTCTATAGCTAGATACTTAGTATATTCTTATATAAAAAATCACACCATATAATAGCATTGACAAGAGCAAAAAAGGCTTTATTCTTACTTTCACATATATTATTTAATTGAGAGATATATGGCAATATTTTAAAGGACTTTCAACATGTATTGACTTTGCAAAACACATGTTTTAACTTGCAAGGCGAGTTTCTTATATACATGCCATATTGTTAGCTTGTATCACAAGCTATCAATACATACAGTACATGTCTAATTTTTTGGCCAAGTTTCTAATCTACCAATTAACTTTAAATATATATATATATATATATATATATATATATAAAGTCAAATATACATATATGAAGCTTCTAAAAAGCTTTGCCATAAGATAATATCAAATCTACTTATATTTATTTCTATCTAGCACTTCTTATTTAGATAAATATATATGTCTATGAAAATACTTCCTTTCTTCTCTCCCCTCCTCCTTCTCCCTCTTTTTAGAGATGAGTTCCATAAAAAAGTAATCATCATCATTCATGGATCTTGCTATTCTTCATCTTGATTTTAATAAGTATCATCCATGAAAATTATCAACCTTCTTTATTGCATTTGCAAGATTCTTAGCATGCTTTCATATGCAATCAATAATATCATCTCCATGCCAATAAAGAAGATATTTTAATTTATTTTGACTCCACCTAGAATCTAAGACTTCTTCCAACTCAAACTCTTGATTATCATCTACTTTTGAAACAAAACTAGACTATTTCAAAAGCCCAAGATTCTTTTAATCCATAGCAATGTAAAGCTTGATGACAAAATAGGACAAAATAGACTAGAACAAAATTCAACGGAACTAAATAGAATACGACATGAAAGACAAAACTAAGCAAACAAAAATAGAACAAAAAAAATTAAACAAAAAGATGCAAAACTAACTTTTATTAAGAGAAAGGGTTCAAAGCCATACATGATTAGATGCTCCAAAAGGCCCTTGCTAGTCTTATTTATACCTTATTCTATTAACCTATGCTTTTTTAGAAGGTTCTATGGTAGGCCTTATCTAAATAATCACTCTAAACTTTTTTTAAAACATTCCATGGTGGATCCTATTTGATCCACTAATCTAATCCCAAATTCTAAAAACTTCCATGGTTCTAACTATCTATACAATTATCTTATCTATACCCTGTTACAATTAATCCTCCACTACCAATATAGAACGACCTCATTTTGTTCTCGATGATATTTGTGAATTATCTTTTGGCAATAGATGAGGTTTTGTGCATGTTCTCATGTTGCATCGTGAATGGGATAACCTTTCCAAAGAACCTTGTATTTAAGTTGTGGATGTCCATTGCCATGACAAAGGTAGCAATAATTCAAAAAGCTATCCATTTCATGTTCTTATTGGTCATCAAATATAAGTGGTGGTAGTGGTAGTTGCTGTCAACCTGAAAAGCGCTTTGGTTTAGTATGAAATTCCTTCAGTTGTAAAATATAGAAGATTGATTAGATCCAAATATGTGGCAAAAGCTTAAGGCGGTATGCGATATTAGAAATCATTGTAGAAATGCAGAAGGATCTAAGCTATTGAGGTATTAATTTATGAATTTGAGTTGATGTAGTTAGTAGCAAGTTGGCATTAGAGAGTAATACCTAATCATCCATCCATAGAAGTAGATATGCATTTTTAACAGTTTGCTTATTCAAACCTTGATAGTCCATGCAAAGACAAAGTCCACCATCTTTTTTGGAAGCAAAGAGTGTATGTGCTTCCTATGGTGATGTGCTTTTTTGAATGAGGCTTTTCTCTAAGAGTTTGTCAAATGTCTTTTGTAATTCTTTAAGTTCTTTTGGTGCTAGGTGATAAATTAATTAACTTGCTAGTTTCACTCTAAGTAATAGTTCTATTTGAAAGAAGGCACCACGATTAAGAGGTATGCCACTACATAGGTTGATTGGAAAGACATCATGATATTCCTGTATAAGTTGTTTTGTCTATTCTATTTCTTTGACTATCTTTTCTACTATTGACCCAAGATTTGGAACCACCATAAATATTGATTTCTCATGTTATATTTGCTTCTTTATAAAAGTCATCTCTATGAGTAACTCTTTAATTGCACATTGTCTTTTCTCTTCACTTAATATGGAAGTGCAAAGAATCACCTTGCATCTTCTATCTTTAAAAGAAATTGTTCTTGTTATCCAATCAACTTGCT